CGCAGGTCATACCCGAGATGCGGACGGCTTCTCTTGCCGTTCAGTTCGCTCCCTGGCGAATTCTGCACGGTTTGTGCGCCTTCCTCTCTGACCATCTCTCCCCCGATTTCCGCGCTCCATCGACGGCGGCTTGCCCCCTGAAAGGCGCCTTCGGGATTGCAGCCGTTGTTCTCTCTCTCTCTCTCTCTTTCTCTGTCTCTCTCTGTCTCTCTCTCGCTCTCCTCTCTCTCTCTCTCTCTTTCTCTCTCTCCCTCTCTCTCTTTCTTTCTCTCTCTCTCTCTCTCTTTCTCTCTTGCACGCTGCGCAACATCGACAGCCTGGGCCGTCTTTCCATGATGGACACCCGCCACCTTCTGCTCAGAGACCGATGTAACCGCTCGGGCCTGTTCGAATTCACGCTGCACCTGTCACCCCCCTTCAGCTACTCATCAGCCGTAGCCTGTTCTTCCTCCATGACTGCCGTTCGAGCTGCCTCCTCAACCTTCTTCTCATCATGCTCGGCTTCCTGCACGGACAGCTGAGCTGCCTCTGAGGTCTCTTGCTGATACAGGTGAACATTCTGAACTATCAACATCAATCGCTCTTCTTCTCGCTCAGTAGTCTACATCTGAAGTTTCATAGGAAAGGCCATCCGCTCGCTGAGGTGTATTTCTCTCGCAACGGCAATATGTTTGTTGTTTCTGCTGCCATGCAAGGGCCATGATACATTGACAACCGTGTTTTTGCGTGCGCAAGCAATCCGAGCAGAGCGACCTGACACCGCAGTTCTTACAGGTAACGGAGCACGCTCCGCACGCTGGCCTACGACAAAAACCCTTTTCCTATCCCGCCTTTCCCGGGCACCGCCGCGGTTGGGCAGTTGGGCCCGCGGGCCCAGAAAGTCACCAGGATCGAAAGCCGACTACAGAAGGATTGCCTAAAAAGGGCCGCTGGAGCCGCGGCTACTTCTCTACCTAGAGCGACCTATCATAAGCGAGCCGAGCTTAGCACGTCTCACGGGAATCCGGGGTTTCGGAGGAGGGGGCACAGCATGAATGCCTGCTGTCTCCCTTTTTCGTATCTTAAGATTAAGAAGTCAAATCCAGAAACTCCTCATCTGCCCCTTCTACCTCGCGGATGATTGGATGGCGAGACGCCGCTGCGTGAGTCCTGGTTAAACTGGAAACCTGCGTCGGCGAATCATATACCTCCATACTGTTTTCGGATCGCCCCCATGGTCTTCCTGGGAACGGTGCACTCCCTGCAAGGACCCTCGGATGTTCTATCAACTCGGATTCCCGAGGCAACGTGTCCACTGGAGATTGTAAGGTTTCTAGGAAATATTTGGACCAGCCCTTTGTGCATCGGCCCGTTCATCTCGCATCCTCCCTTGAGCGTCAACTGAACCCCCGGTTTAACTGGCAGTTTCGATCGCTACGTGTCGCGACTCTGCTTACAGTGATGAACTCAACGAACTGATTTCCGAATCTATTCGCGCGGATAGCTTTTGGCCAATATAAAATTCCCCCATGTTTGCATTTTCTCTATCAGTTCCGGTGGCGATGCTAGAACAGACAAAGCCTGCCCTGCCCGAAACGATAACATTGTGCATATGTTCGTTCGGCATGTAAATCAAAGGCACGTCGATACGCAACATAGATTAGATTGTATAGATTGCGGCGGGCACGATCTGACAAGTCACTATCATGATCGGATTCAGACTCTTCGGTTGGTAATCAGTTATTTGCTTGAGGATCAAAAGATTATGACATTATGATTGGTATGTGTTACTGTTCTACGTTCGTCCCTTGATCTAATATCCCAGTGGCTTGGATCTTCACGGATTCGGCAATTATGGGATATGTAAATCCGGTAAGCAGGGTTAGCAAGTAAATGTGGTGATGTGAACGCGCGGAAGGGAACCGCGCGCGCCCGCTTGTCACTTACTCGCAGCCGAAGTTGTTGCGGTCCGCGCGATGACCAACGGTAGCGTTTGACAAAGACGGCGGCGGCGGCGGGCGACGGCAGGGACGGAACCATATAACTGTATCCTCCCCGGGATGCACAGTAATATCAAGCAGACACGAAGAACATTAAGGCACCCTCCCCGAACCGACCTCGATCTGATGCCTCGGTCCGACCGCAAGTGGGGTCACCCGCCTTCGCGCATCGCGCTCCGCGATGCGCGCCTATCTTCGCGCCCTCGCGCCGCCGCCATGCAGAAGGGCGCCAGTCCGACCCAGGCCGCGACGCGCGCCCCCTTGGGGGCGCCTTGGGCCGTTCCCCATCCGGAGATCCAGAGGCTCTGGGGTCGGGCTCGGGGCTCGGCTTTTGAGGGCCCTCTCCCCCGCTCAGGGGTCGGGGCTCTGCGATCGAGCTCTCAGAACGCCCCTGGCCCCTTCTTGGGCCTCTGGGGGCCTCCGCGGGACCAGGACTCTGGAGGGAGAGCGCACGAGCGAGCGAGCGAGCGAGCGAGCGGGGAGCTGGGGGGGGAGGGGGCGGGCAGGGAGGCCCCACCCCCAACCAAGGCCGAACAAATTCGGAAATGTTGATCCTCGATCGACGCCGGCGACGAACACATCCTTCCTCCTCGCCCCCATCCCTTTCTTCTCCCGCCTTCTGTGGCTTTCCGCGATTAGGCCAGGTTTCCGTCTGGAACCATCCTCCTCCCTCGTGCTACCCCCCGAAAGCAAGAACGGATCCGAGGGAGACGACGACGACGCCGCCGACGCCGACAGGATTACGACTGCTGGGGCGGGGACGGCGACGACTGCGACTACGACTACAGTGCGTGCGCGGCCACAAGAAACCCTCGCAAAAAAACAAATCATGAAAGCCCGCGCGACCCTGCGCAGCAGCTTTTTTGACGGCCGCGAGAAGTCACCGCGCAGCGCGCGGAACAAAGCAACCCAGGGTCCCCTGACGAAAAGCGTATGGCTTCTTGATGTGCGCCCCCATTGTAATACGGCGGCGGCGGCGCCGGCCGTCGTTGTCTGGGTACACGTCGGTCGGAAGAAGTAGGTAGAAACATGAAGTTGGAAGGCGGATATAGTAGATTGGGTTCAGGTACTCCCAGAGAATAACAAAACACAGCAGAAGCATGTCGATTCTTGAAGAAGGAAGGCGCTTGAAGTAGATTGGGATCTGGAAATCCAGAAATACATACTTTCAACGACCAGCGCGTATCCTTGCGAGGCCCCCCGTCGCCGGCAAAAACTCTGCAGACACCCGGGGAACCTCGAGAGCCCCGGGAGCCTCGGACCGCCAGGGGGCGACAGCGGCGGGAGGAGGGAGTGAGGCGCGGAGGAGGCGGACGGGGGGGTGGGCCCTCCCCCCCTCTACAATTACTCAATATGAATACTACACTCCCTCTTCCCCTGATGACGGTTTGAAAATATCAGCCCCCCCCGCGTACTGTTTTTTACACACAGGATTCCCCGGAGTTGGGTTATCGCCTGCATTTTTTTCCAAAATGCCGCTCTCGCTGGGGCGCCGGCCTCATTTTCGGGCCCCGCTCGTTCCGAATCGTGCTCCCGCTGCAACGCTGGCCTCATTTCCGTGCTTCCGCTCGTTCCGAATCGTGCTCCCGCTGCAGCGCTGGCCTCATTTCCGCGCTTCCGCTCGTTTCGACTCGTGCTCCCGCTGCAGCGCTGGCGTCATTTCCCGTGCCATGCCACGGCATGCAATGCAATGCTAGGTTGATGCTACGCTTTGCGGTGCTCTTCTACGCCATGCCATGCCGTGCTCTACAATGCATCGCGTACCCTTTCGGGATCATTGCCCTGCTCGACATCCGACTGTGCGAGTAGAGAGGGGATCTACGCCATGGTAAGGGATGGGAGGGAGGGGTAGGATGTCAGATATGACGTGAGCGCACCTAGCTTGCCCTCCCTCCCTCCCTCCCCTCCCTCCCTCCCTCCCCTCCACAATTACACAATATGAAAATACTCTCCCACTTCCCCTGATGGCGTCCGGAAGATATTCGGCACCCCCCCGCGTACTGTTTTTTTACACACAGGATTCCCCGGAGTTGG